CTGTTAATGTCGATCAGTGTCCGTGTAAATGAAGGGTGTAAGTTTAGTTGGGCAATTTTATATGCAAGGCCAGTATGCCAAACTCTGTCTAATGCTTTTGTAACATCACGGAGGACTATGTTTTTTTTTTTTGAGCTCGGTTGATGGAGAGTGTTTCACAGAGTGTAGCTAATGCAGTGTGAGTTCCTCTATGTTTTCTGAATCCGTGCTGTCTGGGGTTGAGTAAATTGTTTGTATCGAGATGGTTGTAGAATCTATTGTTGAGTATTTTGTCCAGTAGCTTTCCTTGTATGTCCAGGAGGAAGATGGGTCTATAGTTTTTTACTTAGTGTTGGGATGTTGAGTTTCGGGATGAAAATCATTATGGCACGCTTCAGTGAATCAGGAAAGTATCCAGCGGAGATTGACTGATTGAATATGTAGAGTAAAAATTGCAGCATGTTCCGAGGGAGATGTTTTAGTTGTAGTGTGGTGATACCTGTTGGACCCGGTGCTTTTCGTTTGAGTGTTTTTAGCGATCGCTGGAGTTCTCGAATGGTAATAGGGGGAAAGTCTGAGGGATGCAGTCTTTGCAGGTTCCCAGTGTGGTACGAGGTGGTGTGATGTGCGATGTTTTTCATGTGTTCTTGGATGGTGTTAATGTGTTCAGTATCAAACTCTTCATTATCAGTTTCTGTAAATATGTGTTGCCAGTGTTCTCTGAATGTAGGTTCCTTTTGTTTTGGTGTATCCAATCTAATGTTATTGTGCTTGAAGTATGGGACTATTTGTTTTGTGTTGGAGCCCGTCATTCTTTTGACGGATTTCCAAAACTGTTTTGGGTCTTCTTTGAGTTCTAGTGCTGATATGAGGTCTTGCCATCTTGTAGTTTTAGGTAGGCAGTTTGCAGTTGAGAGCGTAGTGAATGAAGTTGTCTATTCAGCGCTACTGATGGACCATGTATTTGTAGGTGGTGAAGGGTTGCTTGGTATTGAGTTTGAATTAGGAGTGTTTCGTGATTCGGTTTTATGTCAGGAATTATCCGGTGTGTGAGGTTAGGAACGGCAAGGTCTGAGTCCTGTCATACTAGCAGTGTCCATTTTTCTAAGTGCTCATCTATTTATTTTAGCGTTGGGTCTGGCGTGGAGGGTACTTGGTGATGTTTGAGCAACTCTTTGTATAGGGTCCAATTTGCTTTATGGAATGATTTACGTGGTCGGATTGGAATTTTGAATTGGATTTGCCGAGATTGTGGCAATGATTGGTATGTTGTCCGAAGGTGTTATTGATCCTGGTTGGAGATGTATGTTGTGAAATGCTTTGTTGTTTTGAATTACTCTATCTGAGGGATGCCGTGCTTTTGTGGGTGATAAGAGTGGAGAAGTAGGGACCTATGTGAGAGCATTTCTTTTGAGCGATAAGCGTAAAGCGTGTGTGGCTGTCTGCCTGTGAGGTTGGACCTGGAGTTTCCTAGCGAGGGATGGTTAGCGTTCAAATCGGCAAAAAGGTAAACCGGGGTGCGGCCTGTTAAGGAGGGTGTGGAAGTCTATGAAGTTTAGGTAACCGGTCCGGGGAGGGATGTACTTGGTTCCAATAGTGATAGATACTTGTAGGATGTCTATTGTCACAGCCATCATATCGGAGTGGAAGTTGTCGTGTAACTTGTAGGGAATGTGACTCTTGATAGCGATGGCAGCACCGGCGTGTTGGGCGTTGTCTTTATTGGTTGCGTGTGAGTGGTAGTTGAAGATTTTCAGAGGAGTGCTGTTAGTGAGGGAATGGCCGTTCAGCAGAATGATATCAGGGTCGATGTCGTTGTAGATGTTGGCGAGCGCGAACTTTTTGTTGGTCCAAGTTTACACATTGTGTTGGATAATTTTTATTGAACGCTGTGGTGTCATTTTGGAGAAGAATGTTTGGTAGTGGATGCCTTTGATTTTTTAAAGATTGATGTTGTGGTAGTGTGGCGGCTCATGGTGTCGAAAGCGTCGTGGGGGATGATGTTTATGTGAGGTCTGTCAAGGATAAGTTTGTCACCTTTTGGTAGGTCGAAAGTTAGGGCGGAGTCTCTCGCGCACCGATAACTTTATACCTAGGGTTTTCTTCTTCAGCTCTTCGATGAACCAAATGTTACGAGGTGCTGCTGAGATTGGGGTGGGATCTTGGTCACTTCTAAAGAGCTTGATCTGAATGGGATCATTTATTCGTAAAACTCCGACGTCAGACCATATGAAGTTGAAACTGTAATTTCCTGGACTAACTGTACAACGAGATGGTCCAAAGCAAGTTTCTCGTCTGCACAGGCTAGTTGCACTGGGGTGCAATAAAATAGGGCTTTGTTACGCATCACATCAGCAAACGGTGCCTGTTGTACAAAGCGCTGGTGCACAAGGCGTTGTTTCTATATGCGGCGCGGACCCATGCAAAATATAGTATATTAGTATAGTATAGTATCTTCGGCATTGAAGAATAGGCCTGTTGCCGATTCTTGTACTTTTCTTGGCTAGACTGGCCTTTTGATCAAATATTTTCAACGGACGGTAGATTTAAAATCGCTTCTAGATTTCAGTTGTTCCGTAGGATACGAGGCATTTTAGGACTAAACATATGCTCCTGCATGGCCTTGTCTAGTCTGTTCTTGAACGCGTTCATGCTCGGAGCGTCAACAATATCTTCAGGGAGGCTGTTCCAAATGTCGGTGACTCGAAGCGAGAAGAAACGTCGCGTGGATAAGTTGCACCGCAGTTTTTTTTAGTTTATAGCTGTGGCCCCTGGTGTTGGTTCCCGTTTCAAATTCCAGTAATCCTTCTGGGACCTTGTACAAACCATGAGCATACTTGCATACTTCAATGAGGTCACCACGCAGGCGACGATAACGGAGACTGGGAAGCTTCATAATCTTCTTTCTTCATACGACTTGCCCTTTAAGCCTGGAATTATCCTTGCTGCACGTCTTTGAACACTCTCAACTAAATTTCTGTCCTTTTCAAGTCTCGGTCACCACACAACGTTTCCAAACTCTGGGTTCGGGCGCACGACAGAAGTGAACAGCTTCATCATTTCTATATTTAGGTACTCGTAAGAGCGTCTGATCAGCCCAAGCAGTTTATTGGGTTTATTAACTTCTGTTTCAATATGCCTAGAAATTTTTAGCTCCTTGTCGACCCAAACTCCAAGATCTTTTTCCACGCAAGACTTCTCAATCTCTCGTTGCCCTCGTATCATAGCCCTCTCGTTGCAACCGTGTCTTCTACTCTTCTCAAACTGTAAGCATGCTGTTCATTGTTCTTGCCGAGGTGAAGTACTTTACACATGTCAGCATTGAAACGCAGCTGCCACGCATCAGCCCAGTCAACTAAACTATCAAGATCATTTTGCAGTTGCATTTTATTTGACGCATCCTTAACTGTATTATAAACTTTTGTGTCATCGGCATACATGGAGCACACGCTTGACACTACTTCTGGTAGATCGTTTATAAAAGCGACGAACAAAACAGGTCCAAGAACGCTTCCTTGCGGTACGCCACTTCGCACAGTTACCCAGTCTGATACGGTTCCGTTAATGCTGACACGTTGTCTTCTGCCTACTAGGAAATTCCTGATCCATTTGAGTACATTTCCCTCTATTCCCAAAGAATTCGCTTTACTTAACAGTCACTCATGCGGAATATTATCAAATGCCTTGGCAAAATCGAGGTACAGTGCATCCACTGGCTCCCTTTCGTCCAGCAGGCGAGTCCAATTATTCAAGGTAGACGGGAGATTAGTGGTACATGATCTGCCTGCAATAAAGCCATGCTGACAGTCTAATAGAAGATGGTTAACAGTCAAGTGGTCGATAATCCTATCCCTCATGACCGATTCCATCACCTTACACACAACACGTGTGAGACTTACAGGACGGTAGTTACCGAGGTCACTTCTGTCACCTTTTTTGAACAGAGGTGTCACTTGGGCTTCTTTCCAGTCGGCCGGCAAAGTCCCTTCGATTAAGGTTTTTCGAAAGAATACTGTTAAAGGGCCTGCCAGGACGGTTGCTAATTCGTTGAGTAATCTATTGTGGAAACCGTCTGATCCAGATGACTTGTTGGGATTCAGGGAGACCAAGCGCTTGAGAACCTCCTCTTCATGTATCTCAAAACTAGTCAACTTTGAGCCCACTGGTCGCTCCTCAATAGCTGGAATACTGTTCAAGTCCTCATCTGTGAAGACGCTGCTAAAGAACTGATTTAGAACATTGGCCTTGCCCTCCTCAGAAGATATCTTCCGTTGATTTACATCCAAATCAGCAATACCGTCCCTTGTCTTACACTTCGAACTAGCATACAAGAAGAAGGCTTTCCGGTTCTTTTTGAAAAGACTATTATTGGCAACGAGTTTTTGGCAACGTCTTTTTCAAAATTTTTGACTGCGGTGCGACAAGCTTTTTTAGCTTGATTTCGAGCTCTTGCATACAGGTTATACTCAGCCTCGCTACGAGTTCGTAAATAACGCTTATAGGCTTCCTTCTTTGCCTTTAGCTTAACTTTAACCGTATTGTTCTTCCACTGTGTTTTTCTGACTCCACCGAGCTTTATCTTAGGTACACACGCATCAACTGCAGACATAACCATGTTCTTGATGAATGACCACGACTCCGCCACATTCATGTTCATAATACAGTCCGAAATGTTCGCTGCACTCACTGATTCACGAAGTTTCTCATAGTCGCCTTCCGCAAAGTTGAAACCTTCACGCTTCCGAGGCGTCTTTTCTGTATAGCACTTAATACTGAAAAACAATGACTGGTGGTGACTTTTGCCCAACGGAGCCTCGTGGCGAAGCTCTTCTACCATTGATTCTTCACTAGTAAACACTAGGTCTAGAGTATTTGGAGTCTGATTTCCTCTAAAATGGGTTGGCTTTGTGATGTGCTGGTATAAAAATGAGTCTCTCACAGGCGTATACTAATGCGCAAGGCGTTTGTATATACGGCGCTGGGATACGAAGCGCCAGTGCGTAATGTGCAGAAGACCTCACCTGGAAGACGCAGGGCAGCATGATGACCACGTTGATGAGGCCGAGGATGGCGGCGACCCAGCCTGCGGATGTGTACTTGTCCCAAGTGAAGGCCCCATTACCTGAGGTTTCCGTCACCGTCACAGTCAGCACCGCCTGGATCACTGCACATGCCGATGCCACGTAAGCTACATCAATAAAATTCTTGGACACGATTTATAGATTTATCTGGAGTTAAAAAATGATGATCAAACATTATGATCTGTATTCTAATAAAAACATTTATGTCAGTATTTCGGAATTAAAAGCCTAATTTATAATATAAAATCATTGTTAAATGAGGCATTACAATTGAGAATGCCCCTAACAATAAACTTAAACTTCAGTTAAAAACACGAATTCTAACTGAATACGTAGTGAGAAAAAATTGGAAAGCTTTTTGAATGTAGTAATTAAATATGCCGTTGGGGTAACTAGTCAACATTTCATTTGAATGTTCTGTTAAAGGCCGATGAAATAGTAACGACGATTTCAGCTTAATTATTGTCGTCAAACGATAAAAGACAAAGACAACACGAATTCCCACTTTCTTCGTCCATATAACTTTTTATTGCTCATTTAATCAATGACTTGTACGGAAACCGAAGCATGACTTAAACCATGAGCACGTACTGAGCATACCTTGGTTTTGATAGAATAAAACAAAAATAAAGCTACGACTGGTACTTTTTTACGAGCACGCGATTTGGATCGACCCAGATAGGGACTGTTAATGTTAGTAAAAATTCAAAAACTATAATTTAATGTCTGCGCAGAATTATCCAGTTTAAATGCTGGACATGAATCGACAACTTGAAGGTGTAGTACAATCTTTTGATTAGTGATATTTACTAATAATTATAATAAGTGAAATCAATTCATGGAATACATAATACCGACGAGTTATCTAAGAACTTAATTTCAAAATGGACAACTTTGTACAACTTCAGACAAAGAGTTTTGTCTGGCCAAACACACACAATATACATTTGTGATGTATTAACTTGAACAACTAATGTCTATTCGCATGGTTCAAATTTAAGGAAATCAGGGCAGCGGGGAGGTAATAATCAGATTATTCCTGATTTTTATCTGACATTCCACAGCAAATTCCGGAAACCTTTCAAGCGCCGGCGTCTAATCAAATAGCTATTAGTAGATAGTAACAGGGGTGTATCGTCACAATTTGCATAAACAGCTTAACAGGCTACCGATCATTTACCCCGAATATTACCTATCAAAATTGACCAATTACAGCCGGATAAAACTTGGTCATTTACCTACAATTTTATTTCGTATCTTGACCATCGAAAATTTGAGCAGTGTCTTTCGATAAAAAACCTGAGCATTTACCCACAGTCTTGACTATCAATATCATGGGTTAACGACCCTTTACCCCCAGTTGAGCACTTTTTAACCGAGAACTCAGGCATTGAGCGAGTGTTTTGATGGAAGTTACTTTTTTGGGATGTATAATTGATTCAAATTTTTGAAATACTTTCCAGAACCTGGGCGCTCATCTTTATTGATCAACACAAAGCTATAAGGTACTTTATACGTTTCAGTGCACAGTTCTTGAAACTCGGCAAAGGGCATATCGCAAGCAACGTAATCACTGTGAATATTCCTCATATCGATGAAAGGTCACTCGAAAAGAATTAATAAATTTGAATTTACTCTAATGGTTTGTCTTGGTAATATGTGATAGTTTTTGGATAAGTGAATTGAATTACAGTTATTATGTCTTCCACGGGTGTAAAAACCATCAGCAGGATTTTGATTCTTTCCGTAGCAACATCATTAAAAAAGAAATTCTTCCTTGGATCTATATCACTGGGATTAGGTACAGAAGCCGTACTTCAAAATATTCGATAGCACATTTTTGTTGACGTCTTTTAGGCAGGGTTTCAAGATATTCATAAATATCGTCATTGCCGTCAGAAAATAAATCAATGATTTCAGGTTTATTATATCCCTCATCGAAAGCGTTCTTCAGCAACTTATATTCAGGCTGATGAGTTGACTTGCTATAGAGGAAAAGGTTGTTGAAATCAATAAAATTATCTAATGGCAACTTCAGTAGCAATGACGTTTTTCCGCAATTCGAACTTCCAATTATGAGACACCTCAAACTTGGAGAAGGAAATAGAAAATGGTTCTTCTGTGTATTTTTATTATCGTCTTTCCACTTATAGAGCATTTTTCAAAGTTTCATTACTAAAATCCTTTTCAATGTTTGTTCTAATATATTCACCTGAATTATAGTCTGATTTATTTCGGTGGAGAGATGGCGAATATCATAGCGAATATTATCAGCATCAATCTGCAGCTAATTACTATTTCCAGAATTGAACATCACCTATCATTGAACATTTGTTATTACCGCCTCCATTTTTATAAAAAATTTCATCAAGCAATTTTCTCACAGGCTGCCTCGAATAAAAATTGCGTGTAAATTAACTACCCTCCATTAAATTTAATTTAATTCCATCATAAATCACTATATATTTTCGAATATTTTCAACTTGAAATTAGATGAAATGCCTTATTTAAGCCAAACCGTAAATACATTATTAGAGTGAATTGTCAATCTTTTGTCAATCAATTATTTTATTTTGTACATTAGCTATCATTTTTATTAACCATTATTATAAATGCATTTGTAAATTTATAAACTTAGTTTAATATTTATCTTTTCGCAAAATCATGGTAGAGTTCTCTAGCGAACGCTGGTTCCAATATTCTCAACTTTTGAAAGTCGTTAAGAAAACTCATCCTGCTTTCTCACTACTTCTGCTATTCTATTCATGCTGTCATCTGCCCGATTTTTTACACCGTCAATATACGCCTTAAATTCAGCTGGAATTCCTGCTAATGAAGATACTTTTTCATCGAGGTATTTCAAATTATTCATTTGTTTTCGCAATTTTAATCTTACTTTATTCATTTCCTCAGTTAATTTTACACCAAGATTCTCCAATTCTGTTTTTACTTCAAGCATTTCTTGAGTTTTTTTTTGTCAAGATCTGTCATTTCCTGAGTTACTTTTCCATCAAGAGTTTCCACTACTGATTTTACTGCAGATAATTCTTTCCCGACAAAGTTGATATGCATCATGTCATGACATCCTCCCTCATTACATCTATTCTTCTGCTGGTCATTTCTGAATCCTTTACATGAACATCATAGACTTTTACGGCCTCCTCATCAACATAACTCTAGCATGCGCATTCTTATCCTCAATTGGATAAGAGATATTGGCATGTCTCCGATTATTCAGATCAAAAATTTTTTCAGCGTCAAGGTACTGGAAGCCAATACCTGGAAGACCTCTTTGAAATGATATGAGCATACTTTTCATTCCTGTTCCAAATATATTAGCACCAGTCATTTTAATAGAGTAAAACTTATAAAGCCTACAGACTTTTCCGGACTCGTGCAGCTACAAGATTATTTATACGATATGTTAGTTTTTTTGTTCAATTCTATGTTTTTATCAGTTTCATTCTTTAGCATCAATTTAAGTTGATTGGTTTCAATCTTATTTGATATAATATCTCCAGAAAACTCATGAAATATGTTTTTAATATTCTTCATATCATTAATAATATGTTCCATTTTTGTCTGCGAAACTGACCTCGCTCGTAAGTTCATGACTTGTTCTGTTATGTAATTAAATTTTATATCATTAATTGAAGCTAAATATGACTCCAGGCTTTCGAATTTCTAATCAACTTTGGCAAAAGATATTTTTCCATTAATTTGTAACTCGAGGTTATGAATTCGCAATTCTGAAGTTTTAAGCTTTGCATTTACTAACTCCGAATTCTTGACTTTATAATCAAGAGCTACCAGAAAATTATTTGTTTTCTCCTCAAATTGTTTCATTACTTTATCCTCAATATCCATTTCTATATTTTTTACTTGGTCATCAACGCTAACTGCAAACTGATGATTTTCTCATCAATTTGCTTGATTAGTTTTTTTTCAACATGCAATTCTAAATTCTTGACTTTGTCATCCAGCGCTAACTGCAAGCTGATTATTTTTTCGTCAAAAATTACTTGATTAGTTCTTCAGCTTGCAACTTGAAATTCTTGACTTTTCCATCGAAAGCTGACTGCAAACCGTCAATTTTCTCATCAAATTGCTTGATTAGTTTTTCTCCAGAAGATTCGATCTTGGACTCCAAAATTTTATATTTATCTTCAAGTGCATACTCTAAAAATTTCAAACCTAAATCAGTATTAAAAAACTCAACTCGTAAGCCTTCTCTCAGGATCGTAATAATTGAATTGAAGGTGGAATGTTTATTTCGAAGAGTTTCGATTAAAGTTTTCCGAGACTCTAAGGGAAATACTTTAACTGGTTCTTCCTAACCATCTTTGCAAGCTGATGAAAGTTTCAAATTATTAGCGTAGATATTAATACTTGTCATTTTTTAAGAATAATAAATTAAAGAAATTTTAATACCCATTCTTATAAAGATCTAATAGGAAGGTATCAAATCACTCATGCTCCAGTCGTTTTAACATTTCTAAACATAAATGTCCACAAATTACTTCACCCATTTTTGTATTATATAGCCTGACCAAAAGCAATGTCATTCAAACTCGTTAGGACATGTCAAACTATAACTATCAAAGTAATAACAAGTATCATTTTCATTATACCAACAAGTCCAATGTGTTCCACTTCCTTCTGTCACATCAAGATTCAAAATTCTTCGCTCCGTTTAAAAAGGTGACCTAGAGCAGTGCATGTAGCCCTTTTGAAAATATCTCTGACTGAAGGAACTTTCAATACTCCCAAATAATGTTTCAAATCATCTTGTGTTAATGGTTTAATGGGGTTTATTTTCTTGTGGATTCAAGTAGAGACCTCCCTCACAAGATTTTAATTGGTGAAGATTTTTTTTTCGCTATGATCAATCTTAAACAGATCCCTTGTTAGCTTCCATTGTTTCATTGTGTCGTTTCGTTTCTGCTATAAGTTTATCATCAGCTTTCTTCTTATTGATTGCACTAGCTATGGCAGAAGCTCCTCCTGCCAGAGACTCAGCAGCGCCTAGAGCTCTCAGGATAGCAGGAATTTAAAAGATGGAACCTCCTTTTGCTCAAAGTTTTAGTTTTCTTACAAATCAAGTAACGTCCGCTCCTTAATATTTTATTATTTATCGTCATAACATACTGAGCATGCACTGTATCCGTTTTTTTTACATTTAACGCAATACATTATTTTAATAAGAAATAAATAAAAAAGAATTGTAAATTTTTAGTAATTTATATTCATTTTTCACCATCAGATTGCAATTGAATTATTCTGTCTCAAAGAATTAGAGTATAAGCATATGTACTATCAGGAATGCTATTATTGAATTCAGCTTTAATCTTCATATAGCTTCAGCTTATGAATATCTTATAGCTTATCTTCTTCATCTTTAGTCTGCATAAAGCCAATAAACGACTTAGACTGATCAGACGCTCTTTCGAGTCCCTAGATGCAGAAGCGATGAAGCAGTGGTTTTTTTGCTGTCGTGCGCCCGAACCTAGAATTTAGAAACGCCGTGTGGTCACCGAAATTTGAAAAAAAAACAAAAATTAAATAGAGAATGTTCAAAGACGCGCAACAAGGATAGTTCCGGGCTTGAAAGGCAAGTCATATGAGAAAAGATTAAAGATTATGAAGCTTCCAGGCCTCAGTTATCGACGTCTGCGTGGGGAACTCATTGAAGCATACAAGTATACTCATGGCATATACAAGGTCCCAGAAGGATTACTAGAATTATACACAAGAACCAACACCACGGGCCTTGGCTATAACTAAAAAAACTGCGTTGTAACACATCCATGCGACAAAATTTCTTCTCGCTTCGGGTTACCGATCTGTGGAACAGCCTCCCTGATAGCATCGTTGATGCTCCGGGTTTGAACGCCTTCAAAAACAGACTAGACCAAGCTATGCAGGAGCATATGTTCAGTCTTAAAATGCCTAGCAAATTACGGACCAGGCAATAAGTCCAGCAGCTATCTCAATCAATCGTCAGTTATGGAAAGATCGGGTTCCAATAGCCGGATCCCTTGTGAATCAAGTCACGAAAAATTCATGAATCGGCAAGAGGTCATGGGCATATTTTCTTCAAAGCCGATACTTCTATTCTATTCCATTCTATAAGACTGTCCACAAAACGCAATTTGTTTGTGATGCATAATCTATCATCATTTTATAAACTACCGCATAATTGTTACTATCAAATCAATTTGTAAGTTTTGCTCAGGATACCTTTCGTTATTAAGCTGAATATATGCATTCTTCTGTCACAGTGATCAAACCGTGGATTATTAGAAAGTTGCGAATTATCTCTACCAGTTTGAAATGCTAAAATGACATAACGAGGTCTTTGAGTTCCCGAACTTGGTGTAAAAGTCCAATCCAAGAACTATTGATTAGGACTCATTATTGTTTGTTCCAATTGACGATTCATGTAGGCAATTGATTTTCTAATTTTATCTTTTATTTGACGATATAATTAAATCTTCTAGTCAACGGAGTGTTTATAAGCCGTCATTTTCCAAATTAGTCTTTTGATAATGCTTTTCCCATCAACAACTTTATATTGATGATTTGGATCTTTATCGCTAGTCTTGAACAGAACATTTGCATCATCACCTCATCTTAGAGTTAAATAATGCTTGACTCTATAAATCACTTTGTCACAAATTTCATAGAATCCAAAAAATATGTTTTAGGGGAATTGTAACATTAAGATGACCACCAGCGGCTCCTAAATTGCTACGTTCATAACTTCATTGAATCCATCATTCGATTTTTCATTGTTTGAGTGTCAATACTCCAGAAGAACATCATATTTTCTTTGGAGCTTCGTTGATAAGTTGTCAATCCTTTTATAATTGTAATAGTTCCAGGATAGCTACAGCCCTCAATTTCTTCATTTCCGATTCTTACTCGATCGAATTAATACATCAGACCATTATTGATAATTGATATTTTATCATCTCTGAAGTTATAATTGCAAGACTGATTTGTTTGATGATGTTTAGTGACAAATGCATTTCTGCTCTGTGTTACGCAGCCATGTAACTTTGAGTACTATAATAATATAACCATTCCTAGGATCCACCTCATGTGTCCTTTAGCTTTTCTTATCTATGAGCCTAAGAATTGCTTATCTCTGTATCGCATATGCGGAATATCTTCTTCAAGCCCTGACCCAGCAGCAGGTGCGACCTTGCCTGATGTGCAGGGAACTGAGTGGTACTCAGTACAACCGCTGCAAACTAGGTTATACAGTATACACTCATGCAAATGGTGTTTTGTGTCTTTTATAATAAACATTAACAGGTTCTCCTCTATGATTTTAACATCAGAATTTCACTTCGATAAATCCACCTTCAACATCTTGCAAAAATGCATGACAGTGACAGTGTCATGCAAAACTTGCAGTGAAGTTTTGAAATAATGCACCCAGTATAACAGCGTCACCTATATATTTAACTATATACTTCAGAATGATGTTACTGCACTGCATCTGCAACGTTGTGGCACTGCAAAAACTTTGTAAAAGTTCGCGCAGTTTTTGACCGATTTTATATTACTGGAAGCGATCCCAGTTCGAAATTCTCGCAGTCATTGCGGCCGTTCGCCGCAGAGACGTTCGCAAACGCGCAAATCTAGGCCGTTGTTGCCTACTTCACCTCGCGCCCAAGCAGTCTAGCGATGATATGGCCTCATCTGCATGCGCTGTTGACCACCCTGGCGTTGCGCTGGGGCGAGCGTTGGCGCAGGCAAGTTCACCCGCGGCTGGCTTCCAGACTGCGGCGATTTCTGACTGGGATATACATCGTTTTGTTTTGACAATTCATCGTCAAGGGCTGTCTCTTGGTACACGCTCACCCAATATAAAGCCTTCGATCCAAATATTAACTCTTGAACCTACGCGTGCGAATGGCGCCTGTTAATCATTGATAAACCCACTCCCTCAAAATTAGTTTTACCGTTTTACGAATATGAATTTTGATGTGGTTATTATTATATACTTTGCTTCTAAAATTGTTCACTTAATAGCCTGCACAATAGTTACTTAACTCTACTTATAGCAATCGTAGGTCGTGAATATTTCTTGGAATCTAACTGCAATGGAAACATTGGCAAGCGAGCGAACGTTTCCGAGAACCTCCTGCATCACCCTCTAATGGTATTTATTAAGAATGCAAATATAAGTCATGAAGATCGTTCATCGTTAATATATTAACACTTTAACATGTTGGCATCATTACCATTTTCATCAGCACTATTCTATTCTATACTAAGTGAATGCTTGGATGCAGTGTTTTCATCTGTTGTCAATGAGGATGACAAAACCCAGTTTAGTGGACACCAGTTCATAAGTGAACTGGTGTCCTGTGTAACTAAAACCTGCCGTAACCGTGGCATTCCTGTTCAAGTGGGCGGTTACATTAAAAAATAATTCGATGAAGTGCTCATTTTAACATCGAAAATTGACCATAATTTAACTTGTTAACAGGACCTTACGGACCACCATCCACTTCTCTGAAAGGATACGAACAACTAGACACACACAATAATGATAAAATCGGGCATAGTTATAAAATTATAAGTAGATATATGTATAAACAATAGAAAACGGTTAATATAAAATAGAATTATCGTTACACCCAAGAATTTGTTGCTTCTCACCTGGCCCGACGACGAAGCCCAAAGCCTGGGCCGCGGCGACTATGGAGATGCCCGCGGTGCGCTCCTTCTGCGTTGTGGAGGCCGCGAGGTACGACCTACACAACGTCACGTTCCCTGCACCCAAACACGGTTACTTCTTCCACTTCAAAATTATACTTTTTTGAAGACTTCAGTGACAATTTTTTTTTAATCAATATATAAATAATTAAAAATTAATCGTTTGCAATTAGGATGCATAATTTTCTTCTCTCATTTTAAAAAAGGAAGACGGCTTCTTGGGGATAGATGAACATTGAGATTTTTAAATTCAGTGATTAAGAATTCCGTTATTCTTAATCACAATATCCCGAATCCCGTTATCTTGAATCCCTTGCTAATTTTTAAAGTAAGGTAATGCTGATTTGAGTCAGACCGGTTCGGCTCACATTTACCAGAGTATTCACTTGTAATATTCGTTTCGAATTCTAAATAAACACAAATCTAAAACAAAACATCCATCAAATAAATCAGAGTGGGCAGTTCGTGTAGTGTGCGTTCTGTGTGTTGCTGAGCTTGAATAAAGCGTAGGTAATTCTGACTATTTTATACTATAATATTAAAAATTGCTGTCTTGTGAAGTGGAGAAGGGACTGAACTCTGTTATGCAATTATAGGCAGCATGTGCCTTGACCGCAAAGTTAGGGAAGGAAACCGTGAGATCTAGGGTTTGTTTATAGTTTGTGGAATGGCGGGGTATTAAAGAGGCCTTTAGGAATTAGAAACTGTCGCGGCGTCACTTCGAGGCTATATAGGCTTAAGTGTGGACGACACCAGCGTATGTAAGGGCCCTAAAATTCACGCCAAAGGTTGCTCTTATACTGAGGTGACCGCCACGCATGTACGGTCTGCTGTCTGCGGACGTTGTGACGGCCGCGGCCGTGAGGCCGGCGATTTCGCCGTTTTCGAACTTTGGCTGCCGCGAGAAACTTAGACTCAACGAGGCAGCTACGATTCCTGTGAGGGGTCGCCTGCCGAAGACCACAACTGCCCTGGATGTAATGGACCATCATGATTCCTGCCTTCCGGAACGTAGCCTTCAACACTTCAAGCCGTCCGTATCTAGGCCGTGGGTCGAACCAGCCCTTGGTCGAACGGCCACTTGTCGAAGGACGATAAATTTTGGAACAGAACTATGCTATCTGAAACCTAACCTCAGATGCGGTGAACGTAAAATTACGTAATTTAACGA